CCCCCACCTCCCTCATGTTTCTATTAAGGGCACATTCGGTGTGTGTATTTTTTTGCCTAGACACACGTCAACTCACATTCCCGTAATTGCTTTCTTGTCTGATTTGAATCCTTTAATAGAATGAGCTTATTTGTTGATGCACTCTTCTTACCTGTGGGTTTGTCCGTTTCTTTATCAGGTTCTCTAGTGTGATTGTTGGTTGTTCATTGGTTAACGTGCTGGCCTTCATTCGTTGTCCATCATGCACACACCTAGCAAGTGCAATTGGAGAAGTCTAGTTATTAAAGAAGTCGGGAGGGTGATAGAAATTGGGCTTTTCAATTGGGAGGGTCTATTATACCGCCTTTAATCCAATATGCTGAGGGTTCGGAATTTAGTTAGTGGGATAGGTTTTCGCATAACTATTCTGTTGTTTTTAAATTTTTATGCTTAGATGAATGCGTTTTGTCAACTAATTTGTCTCTTTTGGATGTTTGTTTAGGTCAGTCATTCGCCTCTTTCGAAAATAAACATTCTCGAAATAGTTATTAATTATTTCAAGTTTGTGAGTGACACTGATCCGGTTGATAATTCAAGCCACTCTTGTCGTTTGCGACCATAATTAAATGTTTCTCTATCCTGTGCCTATTTGCGTACTAACTAGAGGGAAGTTTCAGTAGCAGAACTAGAGGATGAACAATAGCTATTCAAAGACGCCGTGCTGATTTGCGTGTCTCTTTTTCTTTAATCTAACTCTACAATCCGTGTCTAAATACTAAAATGTTTGCAGTTAATGTTAGTAGGAGATTTAAGTTTGTTGTTATTGTAATGGTTGGTGCTTGATTGGGTTGATTTGATACTTGCTTTATACTCCTAATCTGGGTATCCTTTTCTTGCACACATTAGCAACCTTATTCTGGCAACCAGACGGGCAATCCTCGTCATCCACGACAAACAATCAACAGCACACATCTTTGGGTCAGCATCCCCATAGTGTTGGCTCAATCTCTTCGGTCCGTTCACCACCAGTCACCAACAACAAACTCCTCCAGAATTCTCCACTTCGACGGCCCTCTAGTGGGCCTGTGCTTGAGCATGACCTTAAACAAGAGGGTGAGACTGATGGGGTTAAAACCCATTCTGCACCGTCGTCTGTTAGCGAGGGGGCTCGCAAGATATCGGCTCATAGCCAATCTTTATCCAACAATAGCAAATTACAATCAGGTAGACGCAGTGTTAATAGTTCACTCTTAAATTTACGATTTATTTTAAACCACCTTGAGATATGGGTTGGACAGACTGTTGCACAGCGCCTTTTGGTTTTATTATTTCTCATTCTCTACATGATTGGAATTGTGGTGATCTAAGCTTGTTCATATGTGGTAATATTGATTTAATGTCATGCCCCATCAGTTCAATATACTAAGCCCTTCACTTCATTGTCGCATATATGTCATCAGATCGTAGTTTCCACTTATGCTCGTAGTTACTTTCTTGTGTTCTTATATTGGTCAATTTTCAAATTCCAATAATTACTGTATTTAATCCGTTAATATTCCTATCTGTTATACATCTACCTGTATACATACTATTCGTCATATTATTCGATTCTTGAGATTCTTATTCCACTCTGTTGGCACTATGAATGTCCAATACAGTTGCTAAATTCGTTTTGTAGAAAATTTTCAAACTACAACAGATAAATTTGCCTTTTATCCTGGTTTTCGATGTTTCCTAGTTCCAGAAAGTAATTCAAGAGACTCGAAACCAATCTCCTCATCTGTGACAAATGTCCAGCAGCAACAACAGCAGCACGTTTCTGCTTTTTCTGCTGCCAATCGTCCAATGTTTTCGCCAACACCCGTGTCACCAGCCACTCATATGATGGTTTTTACCACTGAGATGGCTAATGACGCTGCAGTGAAAAATCAACGAAGTAGGCTTCGTCTCACCACCTATCACTCCACTCATCCCACCGTGCAATCCTACATGCTTCAACATGGAATGTTCCACACCACACCAGCTGTTGCCGCTGCAGCTGCATCAATTGCTGTCGACAGTGGCAGCGTGACACAAGAGCAGTTGGAAAACCGCAAGAATAAAATGGCTACTTTGGAAAGAATTCACTTCACTTTGACCAAAAACAAGACCTCCGCGGCTGCTCAAGGAGTTCCACCGCTACAACAACAACAGCAGCAGCAGCACATGTACGCCACTGGGGGACAAATGAGCGGCTCCTCTGCTTCCTCCTGTGTTGCTACTCCGATTCCTCCTATGCAACAGCACGATCATGGTCAGTTTTTCCCCTTCCTCTTTCTCCCTTGCGGGAGCGATTCCCTTGCGAAAAAAAGAATGGCAGGTAGATAGCTAGAGTAGTACAATTAGCTTTGATAGAGATGGGGCTAGTTGCCATGGGGGAGAATGGCTGATTACAATCGGTCTCCATTATTTAAAGCTTTTATCAACGACTTGTTGCTGATGATGATAATAATACTAATAACAACACTAATATGCTTAAGATTATAAATCCTTTTTGGCTTAGGATATGTGTAAAATTGTGAGTTTTAAGGTTCCATAAAAATAGGTTAAAGATGAATAAGCTTTTTACTTTCATGCTTCGGGTATTTTTAATGCCTGAAATTATACCCCAGGAGATACTACTTTCGAAAAATTGCATGTTATGATTCATGATATAGGACTTGGGAATCACTTTCTAATAAATGGCTTCTTTCTACGGAACATGGCGTTGTAGAGACAGTTGACAAGCGAATTCACTATTGCTAAAGTATTGGAAATCGTTGAGGATGGAATTATGTTAAAGGTTTGCCATCTTTTTTTCATTGAAATACTTGAAATCCTTAACAATTAGACACAGTTGCTAAAAATTGTTTTACATTTTCGCGGTTTCCTCCGAAACGTGCTTTCATTGCATCAATTTGCATTTTTTACCCTGATATATGGTCAAGGTCAATGCAACAGTGTTCTAATGGTTGGATGGTTCGCTCATTGTCTTTGCAGCCCTGGGTGAAAGTAGACATAAGCTGTCATGGAGATTTAAGAGGTAATATTAGAGTCAGAAATCACAGAGCCGAAGAAATGCCCGAAGGAACAGTGTTGGGTTAGTGAAAGAGGGAAGATGGAGGAAGGGCTATTTGTGTGCCTCGTCGCGTTGCCGCTGTGACTCATCCCTCCCCTATTTTCCTGCTTTTCCTACTACTGTGTGTACATTTTCCTCAACTGCAACCGCCGCATATTCACAATGAGTCACACTTTTCTCCTCTTCTAGTCGACACGTTTGTTATCATCATCGTCTTCTATGGGTCTTCGTAGCTTTCTCGCTTCCTCGACTTTCTCTTTTCATTCCCTTGTCACTTTTTCTTTAAGGCGGGTGAAATTACGCATATAACATCGTCGGCAATAAACCCAGTCTTGTAGAAAATTACGCATATCATGTCAAAAGTTGAGTGAGGGGAAAGGAATTTCTTACTTATGCTATTTATTGAGTGAGATCATCCAATTTTTGATCACTCTTCATTGTGTTTTGTAGTTGAGATGATTTTTACGACTATCTTGGAAGTTAAATTTCATGAAAGCTTTTATTTGGAAATCGAATTTACCTATAGATTGTGGAATTTGAGATTAAATTTAGTACTTAAGTATGCACGTACACGCGCACTTAAAATTCCACTCACAACTTCGCTATAATACCTGCGACCTTGAAATTTGTGTTGGGGCACTTCTTGACAGCATTTTTTGGGTTCAATCTGCCAGTGCGTAATGATTCATCATCCTTTTTGCACCTCAGTGGCTGACCTCTCAACTTGCCACTTTCTTGCAAATCTAATTGTCTTTAAGGAGATTTTATTAGTATACATTCCACTGAATAGCTATCTGAGTTGGTTCCTTCTGGAAGTGCTTTATTTAGTGAGCTTAATACCAGACAGACATAAGCCCTAATTGGAATATTGACTTTCCTGACCATCCTAACGAAGGTGTTTCTGGGTTCGCTAGTCCATTGTATTGCACTGAGGATTTGTTAGGAGATTGGTCTGTTCCCTCCTCTTTCCCCACTTGGGGTTCAATCGAATTTCATTTCACATGACATATTGGCCATTCTGTTTTTTAACTATATTGCTTCTGATTTTCAATATTGAATAGCCGAAACGTTTATCATCATTCCTGTTGATCTTTTTTTTATTTTGGATTAGTCTTGATCGGGTCTTTCGATCCAACTAGATTCTGAAATGTGTTTTATTTTCATTTTCGCTAATTGGGAAGAGAATTCCCTTTTAGTGTTGTTCGTTTATTTCCCATGGCAGGGCTAGAAATTGTACAATTTTTCATCTAGTAATAGCATCTTAATGTGGTGAACAGTTAAGCAGTCCTATGTGGGTCCAGGAACTGGCGTTGATTAGAAGTAAAGAAAAATAGTCCTACAACGTTTGGTCTCTTGATTCAGGTCGTCTTTACTTTTCAATTCCCTGACAGAGTTCACTACTTCAGGCTGTAATAGTTGGGTGTTCAACTTTCTTGCTTTGTTTTCTGTTTATTGTGTCAAATAACGATAGCAGAGTTCTTGAACTTGACTAATCTATTAATTTAGATAATTATTAAGCCATTTGAGTGCATATTTCGCCTCTAACAGTTGCGATATTATGCGGAGGTGGGGAGTGCGAATTTGTGTGATTTGAGTACATGGCTTAACTCCATAAGTTACACAATACGTCAGTTATAAATAGGCTAATGCTTATCCTTTAGAATTTTACCCGTGAGATATCCCGAAAGCTGTTTTCTTTGCGTTAATATTTTATATAGAAATCGGTCATTGACAGTTCAGAACATCTCTAGTTGTGTTAGTTTGTTCATTTCTGACTGTTCTGTAGGATTTTTCATTCGAACTTTTGTTAATAAGTGAGGTATCTGGGTTGCAATGACTTCCTTTGACAACTCACATTTCATCGCTAAAATTGGTGTTGCATCCGTGTCTTTTAATTTTTCAATCAAGCGCGTCTAGAGGTAGTAGTACTTGGCAATTATCTCAGTTATTTATTCTTATCTCCCACTCTCTTAGGTCATCCTCCTGGAGATATGCAGCCAATGGAATCCCGAGGAATGATGATGACTAACCGTGAAATGGCTTGGATCCAACAACAACGAAGACAGCAACAACAACACCAGGCCCTCTCCACCGTTCATCAGTCCTCCCCAATGAGTGGTGGGGATCCCAACGGGGGAATGGGACATTTCCCATACTCGCCTATGGACCCTAATATGTTTGGATCTCCTATACTGGTTGTACCTGACAACGTCTACCCCTCCGGACCCCCTCCACCACCGCCGAACAAGTTCTGCGTCCCTGCTCCTCCTCCTTACGGCAATAATAACAAACGTCCCTATCCGCCATCTGATTCTTTACCTGGTGGACTCCCCGACAGCCATCAATCACAATTCTGGGGGTCCCAGCAGCAACAGGTTATGATGGACCAGCAACAACAACAGCAACAACAGGTGATGATGTTGCAGCAACAGCAGCAGCAGTCTCAACAATCTCAGAACGCTCTCCCAGCATCTCGAGCAGCAACCGGTCGCGGAGGAAGTGGTGTGGGCAAGAAGCGAAAAACAGGAACAACTGCAGCTAGTCGTGCTGCAGCGGCAAGAGCTAGTGGACCTCAAGGACCTCCCTCTGGTTTCAACCCTGCCTCACAACGGATGCCGCCTACTCAGCAACCTCAAATCCATTCGGGCATGAAGCCGGGTGGCTTTGGTGCGGTCCCTATTGGGCCCCCTCGTGGAAATTACCAATCCTCTATGATGGGTGGCGGTGATCCGCTGAATGGTGGTCCCTGTGCTGTAAGTCCTCACTCTGAGCTATTGCGTATTACGTGTTGCACGTGTTAATGAAATTTCATATATCTTTGTGGTTTCGTGTATGTTTAATTACAAGGTCTGAGAGGGGGGGGGGGTGGAAGTCATTTTTTGTCACCAATAATCGATCGTGTATTTCAAAAGCAAAATAATAACATTACTTGTTTGTAAATTATGTATACAGCGGTATATAATAAAATTTCCGCCATTATTTGCAGCTCTTTCCTATTATCCTCTTGCAATTTTTCGGTCACAATTTTATAATAACTGGATGTTCAAGTTGTTTCTGTCTATCAGTGTGTTCTATGGACCTGGAAGCAAGGTCTGACGAATACGGTAGATGTGGTAGAACCTTCCAATTTAATCCCTAAATTTTTTAGAAAGTCATTTTTGTTCCGTGGATCCGGTTGAACATTATCATATTGAAGAATAACTCTCGTTATGCCATATATGTGCTTGGCTGCTTTGATTTCAATTTCAGATTTGATCTTTCCTAACAGTAACCTTCGGCTCTAACTGTTTCGTTCAGTTTTAGCAATTTAAAATGAAATATTCCTTAGGTGGTGAGAGAGAGTAGATATCTTTGAACTCTTCTAGCAAAGAATCATTTATTCACTTTGTCTTTCCAATCCGATTGATGAATTAAGAAATCTTGTTACCTGGCTTTTGTTGAAAGATTACGTCAAGACACCTTGCTGTGTATACTTGGATGTTGAGAATTCATGTTGTGTACCGTCCAGTATTTAATTAGTAGGGTAGTTAATAGGTGGTATTGAAGGTTTGATGTCCTTGTGAAAGTATTGAGTAAATTCTGTAAAAAGGGGCACTATTTGGTTATGATTCTCGCAGTGAGATTTACTGGTGTGACTAGGTGTTCCTTAATTGAAACAGCCATCAATACCTGGTTGACGGTGGTTTGAAACAGACCTCAACCATGCGAATTTCTTCAATTGCATAACTCATAACTTTTTTTCTTTACCACAATCAGTATTCGGTAACGGAAATTTAACACAATTATTATAATCTCGGTGTTTCTGAGCTAGAATTGGTTATAATTTCTCAGACCAAATAGGAAGAAGAAAAAGGCGTTTAGTTCAATAGGGTTTTCTCCTTTTGTTTACATGCTTTATGGGACCAATTGGCCACTTGGTTAGCCAGGACTAGGACACCATTCTCTGGTACTAGATTATACAGAAACGAATTTGATCAAATGCCTTTTAGCCACTGCTATAGTCTAGAATGCAATTTAGGATATTATCCAGCGTTGCAAAACCATGTCTGCAATGGCTAAAGCTCATTAGGTAGAAGGCGGGGGGTTCGGATCCCAAGAAAAGCGTGAAAAACTCTGCTCTTGGATTTTCAGTGCTGTAGCCATAACAACACTTAATTTACCTATTAAAGTATGAAACTGTAAGCACAACATCTCTTATCCGAGGGACCTATGTGTCGAAAATACTCGGTTCCGCATTTTATCTAAACAATCTCCCAGCATTAGTTGGAAGGTGTCTTTTGGCTTTATTGCTTGGAAAATTAACTTTTCTCTGCATCTTCTGCGTCCTAGCGCCACACTGGAATCATTTAAGTACTTCAACTCATGCATTGAGGTAGTTGTAAATTAAATCGAATAGTTGTTTTTTTCTGTTTTCTTCTCTTTCGCCCGCCATTTTTGTGTTAATAACAGTTGGCAGTTACAACAGTAGTGCTGTGTGTATGTGTTATTGTGTGTGCCATTTGCAGTTAGTGGTAGCGAAAACAGCTGCAGTAACCCACTTCCCAAATTGGGATGAACTAGCGATCGAGAGAAGTTTAGAATACACACTCTAGTCACAGTCTGATTGCACACATACCTAAACGCACAACACAGCATTCACATTCTCCATCATAGACGAGAGAGAGAGAGAGAGAGAATGTGATAGAGAAAGAGGAGGAGACACAAGCAGCAATCAGGCATAAGCACTCGTTCCAGTGCCTAACTTGCTTGCTTTGGCATTTCACAAATTAAAGTGCGCGCTGCCTTATGCGTCCGTGCGTGCGTATACGCACTGCCTACAATTAACCCTAGCCAATAAGCGTCAACGCACGCAGGCGTCTTTCCTCTCCCCCCTCTCCCGCTACTTTTTTCATGGGGTGGCAGACGCACGCATAAGACGACGCAGGCGCGCAAGGTTCTTGCTCTCGATGCTGAGCTAAATATAGCTAACCCTCGCTCTCTTACCACTCTGTGCTGCATCCGCCATTATTTTCCCCAACGGGAAAGTGGGGACGGGAGGTGGTGGTGGTGGTGGAGGTGGATTTTGGGCAGCAAGAGCACGATGCAGGAGGTGGAAAGAGAGCCGGGTATTTGGGAGGGGCAAATGTTAACTCTTGCTTCTAGCCATCGTTGCACTATGTGTGTTTTGACGATTCTTTTGCTTGCCCCTCTTTTCTCCTTGTGTCAGTTTCCACCCATATACGCAAGCAAGCGAGCTATTCAAATGAAATTAGGCAAAAACAACACGAGTTATACGTGCACTGCTTAAAAACTCACCTTTGAACAATAGATTACTTAGGTGTATATTAGAGAGTAGTGTCTGACGGAAGTCGACTCCTACTCTCAGAGTGACGATTTTTTTCGTTTTCATCAGTTCTACTAGTTTATCGAAAAAAACTATAAGAATAATGGCATACTCGAGGATACTTGGTCTGAGTATGTAGATATGTCTTTCAAGTTTATACACTTGGTCATATCATTTCCAGCTAGTGTAGCTTCATCTTTCCCACTCTTAACATCTAAAGTTGTATATATGGAATTTTCAACTTTCTTGAGCCCTATAAAAGTTGTCTTTCCCTCTTACGAGGAGCATTTCTTTTGATATCTAATGGGCCAATACAGTTGAAATTTATGCTGGGTTTTCAGAATCCCAGCTACCGAGGAGGAGGTCCTATGATGGGTCCAGGAGGAATGATGGAACAACCCATATATCCCCCAATGGCTGTTGGGCCCGGTGGTCCTCCCGGTGGTCAATTACCCCAATCATCCATTCAACAACAGCAGACCCTACCCATGGGTGGGGGCTACTCCCATCCTCCAAATGACTGTATGTCTCCTTCCTCAAACTCGTCAACTCAACATTTGACATCAGCGAGTTTGGCAAGTCTTGCCAGACTTTCACAGCTCTCTGGCACTGAGGGGCCCTACTGTCTCCAGCCTCCAAATTCTAATCCCAATGTCCCGACACCTGGATTCTCCAGAATGACCTCGGCTCCAGATATGCTGGGAGGTGGCGGATTCCCTGGTGGTGGCGGTCCTGGGATGATGTCCAATCCCGAAGGAGATCCTAACTCCATGTGTGCAATGCCTGGAAATCCTAACACTCCTGGTTATCAGCATCAAGGTGTGCCGATGCCTCAATCTAATAGTCAACAGGTGAGTACTCTATGGGGTGTATATTGTATGAAATCTCACTGATGTAAATAGAATGGATCCGAAATCCGACGGTATCTATTTTAACCGTTCTAGTTAGTATGGATAAAGATGAGAATAACGAAATGCGAATTTCTCCTTACTGACGAATCGAAAGGTTACTCTTTGTTAATGGTGAGCGTTGGAAAACGCTATCCTTCAGCAGTGTCTTTGCCTCTGTGGTTATTGTAAAAGTTTTCCCAATTCCGAGGTCATTAGGTCAATCTCCATCAATACACATTCAGTTGAATGGTTGATTCTGATTACAGATATGATGTCTCCATATAACGATCTCGTTAACTCTAAGTGTTGAACTCTAGATGTACTCGAGTGTATCTAATCTGTTTAGTAGGGAAGTTAGTGTATCTGCTTCTTGATTTGTTTACCTTCGTTAAGATCACGTGTTTACAGCACATGTGTGAGTGTGTGTGAGTGTGTGTGTGTGTGTGTGTGTCTTTTCTCTATCCAGGAATAGGCAGATGAAACGCATGGGGCCCATTTAATGTGAATCGTCAGAACTCTTTAATCGCTTGTTTCTCCGACCCACAATAAAGGTATGAAACTAGACGGTCATTGGTTGGTTACTTGCATCAAGCAACAACACGAAGTTCACTATGTAACTGGAATCTTATGGAAATGGCCAACTTCTCTTCTTTAGAACATTTTTAGAATTAGCTTGGAATTCATGCAAGAATTACTTTTATGATTCGCTGCAACAGTAAAAGTGAAGGTAACGGGTTTGCTATAATGTGTTCATAACTTCAAACTTAAAAAAAGTGGAAGAATCAATCAAGAGCAAAGGGATCGTTAGACAATTACGAGTCACGATACCGGGTTTCAGTGGTGCATAATTTGTTCCCACCATCTTTCCTGAGAGCTCAACTGCTAACAATGAATTCGCTTGCGTAGTTAACAGTGTGTGTGTGTTTTTACTGTTGATGTGTTTTAATTTAAAATGCTACGCAGATGTTAATATAAATTGCACACTAATGGGTGTGCGTATGTATGATGCAAAAGCATGTACACACATAAACAAACCATGCAAAATCAAGCTAGTATTTGCTGAGATATGCTAAACTCCGAGAGCTCTCGAATTCCTCTCTTTTAGCATCGATACTAAATAGTTATTTTAAGGGAAATCAGACTCTACTTTACATGTTTTAACTGCTTAAATGAGCTGAAATATTGTGTGCATACACTTCTGAGGGATTCATCGCATCTCAAGATGGAAGATAGAGTGTGCCATAGCGCATGAAGGAAACTAATTCAACTCCCTAAATGGTATTTATTGTGTAGAATGTATGAGCGTTGGTGGCTCTTCGATTAATGCGAGTTCTCATAACAACGCCATTACTACTTATTTAGCCTGGATTCCATCCTTCGTCCCACCAGCAAGCCCTTGGGGATGCATCCGCAGTAGTGTCAACGAGGTGCATCACTCCGAGCTCCGCTCCACCTATTTGTGCTCCTCAGCCGACCTCTAATTCTCCCTCAACGCCTACTGGTGGCGCTGTGGTGAATCCTCTTCCTTCTAGTCAGCAGCCTCCTCAATCAGGAGCTGCGTCTCAACAATCTCAACAACAATCATCTTGCCCACCTCAACAGCAGTCTGGCCAGGTATAATCGGCTTTATTTAAGATGAGGCTCTCTGTTGGAAGTTTAGTTCTAGTTTAATTGGATCAATTAGGGTCAGTCCATGCTGTTCAAAGTTCATCAATTTAACACTGAAAATGGATGAGTATTAGTAGAATGCTGACTTTCGGTTGAATGGCTCTTTTTAGCCAAATCAAACATGGAGTATTTAGTTTATGGACGAGTATTTCTGAACTTTGCCAGTTCTTGCTTGATATAAGGAGCGCCTTGGTGCCTAAGAGTTTTATCTAAACGTGTATCTAAATCAGTCTATTTAGTTATAGAGATGTAAGCTCAAATTAGAACGCCTTAGTCATCAATAATTCTGCTTATATATATGTTATTTTTTCAAACTCCTCGGACAAATGTTTTCGACATGCATGAGAATTGTGAAAATCCCACTTCTAATTACCGCATAATTTAATTCGTATTGCTTGATAGCTTGTAATCGGAGAATAACTTGATTTCGTACAGTAAAGTGTATACGTTCTCAGCTCGTTATTTTTCAGTCTGATATAGCACTGACTCTAAAGTGCGCGTGAAATTGCTATGGTCAGTTTAATTTGCAGCATTCTGGTTCAATTTCACGGTTTCGTTACTTTTTAAGTGAAATGAGGCTGTGCTCCGATGGGGTGACCGCCAAGATGAACACCCGCTAAGTAAATTAGCACAATCGGTGTTCAACTTTGTAAATACTCTCAGTGATTTTCGAGTACTCCTCCTTCAATAGAAAAAGAAACACTCCAATTTCCTTTCACCGGTGACGGGACACACGAAAATACGTATGTGCGGACGTGGCTACACCTACCTGTCTACTCTACATGCACGCTTGGGAGTACATTGCAGACACTATCCTGTCCCTTAATCGATGTGCGGGAGTATGGCTCCCGTCAGTACTCTCGTCACTATTCTCCCTTCGCCTCTCTCGCTTTCCCACTCATTCCTTCCTCGCCTCCTACAAGCCTCAACAAAAACATTGCTGCTCTGCCTCGCCTCGTCTCACATTTGCACGTTACGCGATACCAACGCGAGTGCGCCGCCCAATTATCATTAGGCGAAATTTTGTTCCTGTCTGGGTGTGGACATCGGGAGAAAGAAGTGGAAGCAATTGGTGGGGATTGATGGCGAAGGAGAGATAATTCGCATATAAACATAAAAAATGAGCCTCCACATGACTCTTCGATTATCACAGATTCGTTTAACACACGAATTAAGCATGGTTTTCGAGAAGGGGGGGGGGAATAATCAATAGATACAAAGTTTCATCGATCGCATTTCTACTCTCAAATGGCACGAGGTAGATGTTAATTTGTTGCCACTCGATATGACTTTAATGAGATGAGGGCATTTATATTATTTTAATTGAAAATTATATGCATAGTTAGCAAAAAATAGCTAGGTAAATCCCTGAATTCTACATTAAAGCTTTCAACAAATACTGTTTTCGCTTAAACAATTCGGTTTGTATATGTTGGTTTTCGATTAATTGAGGCTAATTTTAAATCGATTTTTTCGCTAAACTTGATTCAGCTGTTTGCCTTGTGGGTTCTTGTTTCGGAAGTAATTTACTCTGGCTTTCTCGTAGTTCCAGCAAATTAATTATCCCCACATGAATGGAAACCCCCAGCTCCATCCAGGGCAATACATGCAGCAACAACCGTCTTCTCGACAGTTCTACGGTATTAGCAATGGGTCCACGTGTCCACCTCCACCCAATCAACGGTTGGAACCTCCACGCAATCCTCCTCAGCTTCCACCTCCGACCAACGTGCAGATAACACCAAAGACCCCGCATACAATTCAATACCTTCCAACCACTTCTACCACCACCACTGCTGGGTTGCCTGGTGGAAACACAACTTCAATTTCCAACGCCCCCTCCAGTGGTCCCTATCCACCTGGACCCCAACAAAAGGTACGGACTTCTTCTGGACAAAAGATCCAATCCCCTTGTCATACTCAAGTGGCTCCTAATGCTGCTGTCCAGCCAACAAATGGCCTGAATGCCCTTCCTCCCCATCCACCTTCGTCCGCCAACCGAAGGTGTCCGAAAATGGACCAACTTCCTCCTGCTCAACAGAGCTCTATAGTAATGGGCGGTAATAATCCTTCTGGTAGGTTTCCAGTGTTAACCTAAGTTTCCCCGCGTATATTTGCTCCTCTTTGAGTGCCTGGAATTGTATTTTTCCAGTAACTTGCTCTTGAAAACAAAGTGGATAAATCCTAAACAATAGTCGAATTTGCTAAACTTAAATTTATTTTCCGGAATCTCCACTTGACTAAATTTATGTGTGAGTGTGTATGCATGTGACAGGCAGGTGCTGCAAAAAAGAAAAGCTATTCGAGTTTTGCTTTTGGTATGCACGTATGCAGGCCACAGAGGCTAAGCTAGCGAATGATTACTGACGTTAGTGTGTTGTGTGATTGCACTTGGCTGGCTACATGATGTCTCAAATGTCAATCCTTCGCATTATCCCTCACTCTCAACTCCATTTGTAGATATGGTTGCAGGAATGCCTGACGGTAGTGAGATGTACACTACGGGACCTCAACCAAAATATCTCAGCCACCAACAGCAACAGAGATTTCCAATGACGACTGATGTGACAGCCCAGCAATCTGACAGCACAAACCCCTTCGATTTTCCTCAGGGTGCAACACCATATCCCAACACGACTGCATCACAATCGCGGAATTTATATCGTGATCCTTCAATTCACTTCCAGCAGCAGCCGCAGCCATATGCTTCTTCCTCAACAGGGCCCGGTTATCGACCGGCTGAGACGGATTCTTCTCAAATGGTCTCTGGAGTCCCAAATACGACAGTTACTGCTTCAAAGAACGCGCTCGCTCCTTCGGCTGCAACATCTGGATCTCAGCAATCACAACAGCAGATGTACATGGGTGGAGTGGATATGAACTATCCTCAATCACAACCACGCTGGCAACAACCCCAAATGATGGGTGGCAATGGAAACGATTTCTATATGCAGCAACAGCAAGGTGCCGTAATGATGGCTCCGTCTCAAGGTGGTGCCAATCCACAATCCCAGGCTGCAGGGTTCTATATGCATCCCCAACCTGGAGGAAGTGGTATTCCTCCGAACCACTTGCAGCCACCAGCAAATCCCACACCCTCGCACCAGCAGAATCAAGGCCACACCAGCAGACCTTATCCTGCTCTCTTGTAAATACTAACTGCAAATGTATGAATGAGCGCTGTTCTTGCCGGATCCGCTATGGGAGAACCCGTCAATACCCACATGTTTACCTATGTCTCTTAATGCATTTGACTCTTTTTTGTATCATTAGTGATGGTGATGCCATCAACTGAGATCTCAAGATGTATGCCTGTATTGTGCTTTGTTGTACAGAGGTCTCGGCTCCTTTCGTTCTCCTTGTAAATTCCACCATTTCCGCCCCTCATTCACATTCAAACGACAATTTTTATTCGCATTTGAGTTGTACCGCCACCCCCCCCCCCCCCCCCCACCACCACCACCACCATCCCCCTATTCGTTATGTACCACCATTATCCACTAGCGTAAAATGTACTTAAGCAAATGACCTTGCATTGAGTGAATGTGCACATAGTAACTGCTAAACCACTAACTCCCCTTGTCCAACCGACCTGCCAAGCGAAATTCTTTTATATTCTGAGTTCCTCTTCATCATTGACGTTATATTCTCGGTCTTTTCAGTTGCAATCATGCCTCTCGGTCGGGCATGTACAATGAAATTATAACACGTAATGTATATTCTCTCTCTCTCTCTCTCATGCAATCCTCAATAAGAAATGGTCATTTATAATTTGGTGACTTGCTGATTTTTGATTTTGTTGGTCAGATTTGGATTATTCATTAGAAGGCATTAAGGTAGTATTCAGGGCCTACTCCGGTTCGTATGCTCAAGTTTTGGATGTAAGGTGCGGAGGTGGATTTGACTAGGAGGGGGGGGGGAGTAAAGTTGAGGATTAGGGTTGTAGTATAGATAATGAATAGCTTCATGATTGAAATAAAAGAGAAGTCATTATTATTCGACTTGACTGTTCAAAGTGAGAGGGGAACAAGTAGGTAGAGGGTAGCAAACACCGTTTTAGCTGTTGCCCTTCTACCTGCTGGGTTATTCCTCAAGAGCGAGTTAAAAAGGAGGCTGATAGTTCGATGAAGGTGTTGACATTAGGAGAGTTGGTAAGCAGAAAGGGTTGAGTTGGTGAAAAATATTGGAATTAAATTAGGAAGAGTCATGGAACTCGATCAAACCAATAAACCACAAAAGAAACTAGGTACTAATGGTTGTTTTGAAGTGGTACAGAGAGCTGCGAAGTTAAAGATAATGGAGTTGTTGGCCATGAATATACATGCTTAACAGCACTGATTAAGTCTGGTCAGTAAAGTGGAGGAGCAATGATATACCACTGATTGAGTTATAGAGGACCTCTTTCCCCAAGAAAACGAAGAGGATTTTCGGAATATGGGGACAGTTCCAAGGGGGTTTGGTTCGGTTTGTAACTAATACCTACTATCATTAGCACCTGGATCAGGATTTGTCCCAATTGTTCTATTCTTTGACTTTGCTGTCTTTGCAGTACTATGAAATGGACAGTCAGTAAGCTCAACATGTTTAGGAGGTTCTCCCTGAAGGTAGAGAGGTGTGAAAGGAATTCATTTAGAAAGAAACACGAAAACAAAAGTGGTTCGTCAAGAACATTAGGTGGATTCATATATAAAAAAGAACAGGTTTCAGTCTGTTCCGAAAAATTGAATTTATTCTCCATTTCTACGTATTCTCGTCCTGAATAAAGAGTTTTCTTTAAATCACTTTAAATCAAAGGATTTCTCTATTAACTTCTGATTATCATAAGAAAATTGGCACGTTTTGTATGAAAGTATTTGTTCTTTTAAAGTGCAAAAAAATTTCCCCCAATTCAAAATTTGACTTAATAAAT